GAAGGGGGAGAGGCAGGAGGGATCATTGCACCCCTGCGGGTGCCGCAGGAGCCAGGCGCCTCCGAAGTTGCTAAATGTGTCATTTATTAAAGCATTCAGGGGGCTTTTCTTTGGCGTTTGCTTGCAAACTCACAAAGGCCGAGCTGCTGTTTGGGGGTCTTTTCTGATGGAAAAAGGGCTCGGAGACCCCCGGCACAAAAGAAATCCTGGCAGTGCTTTCAATGGCCAGGACTCAATGAGGGGGACCCTGTGCGCAGCGGGCGGGGGCGAGGGGCCGCCCGGTGCTGCCTGAAAGGCAGGCCTGAATGTAATGGGGAGATCTGCGTTTATTTGTTGGGATCACATTTAATTAGCTTAGTACAACCCTTGAAAGACAAAGGGACCTCAATCTGGATCCAATCTGAAGCTCGTTTGGAGAGCGAGGGCTCCTGGAAAAGTCAAAAGAGAGAAAGGAGAAAGAAAAGGGAGGCTGGGAGAGAAAGGGGCTGGGGGCCCAGCCAGGTGACTGGCACGCGTGAAACAAGGGGGCCTTTTGGGCACAAGGCAGGGCTCAAAAGGGAGGGAGGAAAATAGCCTCTTCCTCAGGTTTTACCTACTTAAACCCCCTGAAGGGGCCGGAGCTGAAAAGCCTCAATAGGGGCTAAGGAGGGGCAAAGCAAACAGCAGCGCTGGAGAGGGGCTCCGGCCCTGTGCGGCAGCAGTTGGCGGCACTCGGTTATGGGAATGCGCCCAAATGTTACCTGCGACCGGGAACGCTTCCATCGCTGCCGTCTTGGAGCAGGAGGCGTGGGGGGACAAGGCGATGCTGGTCCCCATGTTGCCTCCTCGTAGAGTGAGACCCTCCCGGCCCCTCTACCCACCCCTCTGGGGCCCACGCAGCACCCCTGCCCCATGGCTTGGGGGGCTTCATCACGTGCCGATGGGGCCACTGCTGGCCTGGGGCACCGAAGGGGGGTCCCCATGGGTGCACCCCGTGCTCTGGGGCAGCCCCCAACATCTCCCATCCCCGTACCAACACAGGGCACACATGGGTGGGTGGCACAGAGGATGTGCTGCCACCTCCCCAGGGGCAAAAAGGAGGAGAGCGGCTGTCCCCAAGGTGCCACATCCATGGGATGGAGCTGAACGGACCCTTGTCCCCCCCCTGCCTGTCTGTTCCTGCTCTCCTCCGGCGGGGACAGGAGCAGTGGGGAGGGTTCGGGGTGCCCAGCAGCTCCAGGCATGGGGGGGTTTGGTACGACGAAGCCGTGACGCTCCCTGCAAGCGTTCTGGCGCAGAGCACCGCAGCCCCTCCGAACCAGGCGGGCTGATTGCACCGCTCAGAAAAGGAGCTTTAGGGCATTATTTGCCTCCATTTCACTCTGCGGGAGGCCGTGGAGCCGAGCAGAGATGCTGAGTGCTCCGCTCTCGCTTGCTTTCTTGCCTTTTTTTCCCCCCTTCCTTTTTTTTTTTTTTTTTAAGTAGTATTTCCAGGATTATTTTGGCATGGGGGTCATGGTGCACAAAAGCAAACAGAAGAAGAAAAAAAAAAATCACTTTCCCGGCTGCGTCTGACTGCTTCGCGGGGCTCAGGCGGTCTTGAAATGAAACGTGGTTGTGGCAAATGACGGCAGTAACTCCTCAGCCGCCTCCGCGGTGCTGCAGCTCGGTGAGCGGAGCTGGGGGCACGGGACAGCCGGATGCCAGCGCCCGCCGAGGCAGCCCCAGCACCGCAGGGCCCTCGCTGAGCTGCTGGGAAATGCTGGAAGTGTAAAACAGTGTTGTGGTGGCTTTTCTGCCCACGGCCAAACATTTTGGCTGGGGATGAACGAGGCACTGGGGATTTCCACCTCCTCGAAGCGGCTGGGTGCTCCCTGGGGGTCCCGGCAAGGCCAGGGCCGGGCTGCGGGGCCAGGCACAGCCCCTCCTTGCTTGCCCTCACCTCCATCTGCTCTGCACCCAGGCTGGATGCTGAAGGTGCTCCCAACCATTACAGGGTCCTCCTCAACAGCACAGAGCAGGAGGGAGCAAAGAGGGATTTGGACTGGAGAAGCAGGAAAATCTCTGCACCTTTTCCTCCAGTCTGGCTGTGACCTGGGGATGGGACAGCTGCATCCCACCACCATCTCTCCTGCATCCCATCACCATCTCTCCTGCATCCATCCCATCACCATCTCTCCTGCATCCCACCATATTCTCTCCTGCATCCCATCACCATCTCTCCTGGATCCCACCATATTCTCTCCCTCATCCCATCACCATCTCTCCTGAATCCCGCCAGACGCTCTCCAGCTTCCCACCACCATCTCTCCCACAGCAGCACCTTCAGCTGCCAGACTGGGACTCACTGCACTGACGCACCATCCCGGAGAGGACCAGAGGCCAGGGCAGGGCAGGGGGAGACCCCTGAGGAGAGAGGGTATGTGTGAGCCCCATCACTCCCCTCTGCCCCTTTCTCTGCTCCCCACGAGGGCTGGGACGGGGCCACGCTCTCTGTGCCGCTCCAGCAGTTGCCGTACCCACGGGCAGGCTGCAGTGGGGGGATTGCAGGAGCCGCCGTCGGGAGACGTCAGCTAAGACCATGCAGGACCAGGGTCCAAGGTGTCCGGCACAGCCTCCCTGGACCGCAGCAGACGGCATCCCCAGAGCCAGGGGACGAGGGGAGGGACGAGCCCAGGCGCGGTGAGGAGGCAGGGAGGCCGTGCCCGGCCGCGGCGGAGGGCAGGGATGGGGGCCGGGAGCGGGGCCGCTCCGCAGATGGGTGACCCCGGCCACAGGGGCGAGGAGGCAGGCGGGAGAGACGAGCCCTCCCGTGGCTCCTGCCCTTCGCCGGCCCTATTCTCTCCAAAACAAACAGAGCGGCGGCCACTGCCTCCTCGTGTAATGACTCCACGGCGCCGAAGTTTAATATTCCCCGGTGAATGGTCCCAACAAGGAGCCCCGCCGGCCGGTGCGGCTCGTCGGGGCATGGCTGCCGGTGAGTGACGGCTCGCACAAAGGGAAGGGACCGTCTAATCCCCCAGGACCACGGCACCTGCACCCCGGCCCGGCTGGGATTAAAGGGGAGCGAGTTGGCCTCTGCGAAGATCAGAGGCTTCTTTATAACGGCCTTGAAATAGGATTTCCTCAAGTGATAAGGGGCAGAGTGGGGAGACAACTGGGGCGGGGTGTGTGTTGTTGGTACCTGCCCCCACATCAACTCCAGAGATGCTCTTTTGGGTCATCTGCTTCAAACCCAGAAGTGCCCCAGACCTGGAGGGAGGTGGAAGGGGGGATGTGGGCATCCTGTTCCCCTTGGCCCAGGGGTGGCTGGTCCCCCCCGCCATCCCCTCCATCTCCAGCACCCGCTGCAGTGACGCTGAGACAAGGATGGGGGCTCAGTGACGGCCACTCGCTGCCCTCGGCCCCAGGGGCTGCCGTCCCCTCTCGCCAACGGACCAGAGAGCTGTGGCTGCTTCAACTCATCCTCACATCACCTAATTCTGGTCTCCTGGAAGCGGTTTCCCAGTGCCCAATTTCTGCTGATTTCCAGCATGAAAAGTTGTGGAAAATTCCCTTTCTGTCATTTCCAGCTCTAAGAGGGCAGAGAAACGCCCTGTCTGCGACGGGCACCCTGCACCGCGGCCACTCACAGCAAATCCAGGGAAAAAAACCCTCCAAACCAGCCAAATGAAGGCTAAACAGCTCCTCACGCGGAATAAAACACCCATGTGCTGCTTGATGGGATACACCGACACCTTTGCCTGCAGAGGAACGACCCATCGCCGCGAGATCCCCGTTCCTCGCCCCCCACCACAGCCCTGCAGGCACCGACAGCCCCGGGATCCCCCCGAGAGTGAGATGAACCAAACGGGTTTGCAGGAGAAGCAGCAGCGCAGGTGGGACCTCCCGAACATCCACATCACGTCAAAAAGCTCCAGGTTAAGTACCACGAGCTCTCCCTCCGACCACGCCGCCCGTCGCCCACCCCGCTTACTGTAAATACACTGTTGCTCTAATGCAATTAAATATTTAATACTTGGGGAAGGAAAAAAAAAAAAAAAAGTCCCATGCCTGCTTGTCTCTTTCAATAATCATTTCGGTTTAACTCTCAATGTCCATAATGTAGTTCGTTCTCAAATCATGCAAAATTAAAGAAAGTATTTTAGACTATCTTCAAAGTCTCCCCTCTGCTCTCAAAATAGCCTTTGCCTGTTCAGGCACACCCAATATAGCGCACGGGAGAGCATCGGGGGCATCGCGAACCCGACGAGATGCTTTAGGGAGGTGCTTTTTCAGGCTGCTGCTCGGGAATAGTTTGCAGGAGGACTGCAATAAATTTCTACTGAGAAATAAGTCTCAGTGCCCAGAGAGCGGGACGGGTGCCGCACAGCCCGGGCAATCCCACGGGATGCGGGGCCGAGGAGCCCGTGCCCTCCGGTGGAAGACGCACCGCTGAAGATAGCGGTGATGGAGTCATGTCAGGGGGAGCGCGGCCAACGTGTGTCTGAGCCGAGGCCTCGGGAAAGGGATCGTGCTTGAAGGAAGGAACGTGATTTGTGGAAGACAGGAAAGCGCAGGAGCCAACGAGCCGGGGAGCTCCCGCCGGGGCACTCACCTGGGACGGCCTTTAACTCCGCTTCCTCCAACCTCAAACACTCCGCAGGCGGAGTGTTCCCCAAACTGAAGTTTTCCTCGTGGGAGCTCCTCGCTGTCCCCAGGGATTCACACCCGGGCACGGCCCTGTGCCGGGCGCTGCTCCCCCACGAGGAGGAAAAGGCCGCGCTGTTTCCACTGCCGTTCACGGACCCCAAAGGTGGCCCATGTGCCAGCTCCTACACGGTGCCTTGGGGACCTGCCCTGCTCCTTGCAGCGTCCAGTTTCTGCCCAAGGGCCAGACAAACCCTCCCCGTCACAAAAACTAATGCAATCGGGGCTTAATCCACTTTATTTGGGGATTAAAGTTGCCCGGAGCTGAGCAGGGAGACTGTTCCTCTCTCGGAGACCACAGACTTGGCTTGAAGGCACCACAGCACCTTCTGGGCTGCACAACACACCTGAGCCAGGGGACAGGAGGAGCTGCCTACAGACCCCGGAGCGAAATGCGAGGTGTCCTGGCCAGCCCTGGGGTGGGATTGACCGTCCCACCAATCCCCAGGACATGGAGAGCAGGACAGCAGCGGGGCTGGAGGGGAATTTGGAGGAACCCGAGGTCACCAGCCCCTCGTGAGCTGCCAAAGCGTCTCCTCGCCTCCTGCTCTGCCCCACTCCAGCCCACGGCGGACGTGCAGCAGAAAGAAGTTTAATGGCTGCGGCCCCTCCGCCCCGAGCAGGCAGCAATAATGGAAAACAAATTGCTGAACTTGGGAACGTTTCAAGCACTTTAGCCTTCCAGGACACCAGACTGCTGATGAAAACCCAGCTTTGCAGGCACCATCTTAATGACAGGCCAAATTTCAAAGGCTTGCAAACTATTTCTTTTGCTGCCCCACCCCCTCAATAAAAGGTTGCATCAGAAAGAGATATTTCCATAATTTATAGTACGGGTATTTCACTGGGGAGACTCACTAATCTGTACTTACAGATACATTTAAGAAAATGCATCCTCCCACAATCCTGTGCCATTTACGACTATTGGCACAATCTGTAATACTCAGTCTTCAATTAAGGGACACCTTAGGGTTCATTATCACACAATTGCTCCCTGTGAACCATGCCAAATGCTGTTTTGGCACAGAGCTTGGAAGATGAATTAGAAGGAAGTCTTCTCGGTAATGCCCGCTCCCAATTCCCATCAGCAGCCTTTATGCCCTCCTCTAGCCATTTTTTCCCCCCTCTCCCCTCTTTCCAAGTGGCTTTTACTATCCCATCTTTCAATGTCTCTCTTGATTCTCTGGAGGTATATTTAGAGATGCTACATCTCCTTTTCTTCCGGCTCTCAACATGCCTCCCGCTCCCTGCTTTGCAGATGGGATCTTCTTTCCTCCCTCCCTTCCCCCGTCTGTAAACCCCCGCAGCTGCCCGGGGAGCGTCGGATGGAGCTATTTTAGGTTAGAGGAGCACAAAACTCACTCTTTTTTTTTTTTTTTTTTTATTTTTTTTTTTTTTTTTTTTTTAAATACAAGAAAGGGATCTCCAAAGGGGCTAGAGCTATCCCCAAACTCAGCCTGGCTACAACTAAAAGTTACTGCTCCGTAGCGCACACACCAGATGAGAATGGCCACAGCCACGTCCCTCCGCATCCCTCTCCCGCCCCAGCAGCCCCCTTTGCGGGGAGGGCGCAGGGCACGGGGCGAGTCCTGGACGGGTTCAGCCGCAAAGACAAAGTCGCAGAAGACCAACAAGTTCAGAGTATGACACCCAGGGGCTGCCACCTCCTCGACAAGCGATAAAACATTCACACGGCTGCAGACCAGTGTCCCTCCGGCTTATAGAAAACTTCTCCTTACTAAAACAGATCCTCCTGGCCCAAACGGCAACAATTACAGCACCTCGCTGTGGGAATCCTCAGTGCCACGGTGCCAAGAGACACTTCGGTGTGACACTGATAGAGTTTCACTAGATTTAAGGCTCAAGCTGACTTCACGGATCACCCCGAAGTCCTCCGGCGACCCAGCGCGAGCAGGAGCGGGCACGGGGGTCTGGGGGCGGAGGGCTCGCTGCGCCGGGACCTCGGCGAGCGGAGAGGCAGCAAACTGAGTCAGACAGACGGGAAATACTTCACCCACAAGACACCTTGTGGAAATTTTATTATATAGAGTGTAAAATGCAACTGTCAGTCAAATAAAAAGAACACTTTTTTTTTTTTTAAACACCATGCTCAACATTATCCAATTGCGTTTCTTTATAGTTAGACATTTCAAGCATAAGGAAAAATAAGGAAAGAACCCAAGAACAGTAACTTCAGTACATTTCAAAACGGAATGTCCCGCAGGGCAATTAAAAATGCAAGAAAAAATAGCTTCAATTCCGTTTTTCCTTTAAAAATACACTGTTATCTGTACAAGAAACACTACAGTAAACATTGGAAATCATATTATCCCTTTTATTAAATCAAAATTATTTAGCGCATACTGTGGTTAATACTAGATTCATTTATTTCTCTAGGTAATTTGACAAATATTAGATAAGAAAATATTTAAAAGAAATGAAAAAGCAAAAAACACCTTGGAATTAAAAAATAGTTACTACCTTTTATATGGTTTTATGTTCCACAGTGTTTGTTAAAGGTACTAATAGCAGATTCATTTTAATATTAAAAATAACAGTATTTATATTTCTGAGAGCATAGAGGAAAGTTTTTTCTTTTTTTTTGTTTTGTTTTTTCTTTTTTTTAAACAAGCTTGGAGGTCTTAGATACATAAATGCAACTAGCAATGGAGACATGAAAAAATGTATTGCTAAAAAAATTAACAAGTTTTTATATTACCCCTTTAGACTCTAGAAATTATACAAACCCTACAAAATGCCCCCCCGCCCATAACTTGCCTGACAGCAAAACAGTAACTGTCTCAATACAGAATTCACATAATTAATTACAATACATATCATAGTTCAGTTTTTAAAAAATGCAATAAAATCAAAGACAGCCAAGATACAAGAAATTAGAAGTAAAACATTTAATGAATTTACATATTTAAGAATATTTAAATACTGTTTAAAATTTTTTTTTCTTTTTAGGATTTGTTACATACCACCTAAGACTTCCAAGCCACTCTTTCTGTTGCAACAGAAAAGATCGAAAATTAAAAGGAAAAAAACACACAAAAAAACCCACATGTTGAAATGTCACAGCTCTGGGGTGCGTTTTGGTGCCCGCAAATTCTCTGGCTTCTCTCCAAAAAGAATCCCGGAGTTTGTTTTTGTTTTTTTGTTTTTTTTTTACAAATTTGGAAACAAAAATACCAGCATGTCCATAGGTTTAGTACATTACTAATTGTTCCTGATTCTTAGAAAAGTTCAGTATAGATTATCCTACAACTAGTGTTTCACAAACAAACAGAAAAGTCTTCATCAAAATGTTGCAAATCTAGAAACCTCTGTTACAAAAAGGTTTTCTTCCACAATGATTCCAAGAAAAAAAAAAAAATTGCCACGAGGACCTTGTTCTACTGCTCCTAGAGAGAGAGAGAGGGGAAAAAGGAAAAGTTACTCAGCGGCAGCAAATTCTCACCGCTGCCGAGCCCTCCTCCCCCGACACAGCCAGGTCTCTCCCTCCCCGTTCAGCCGAGCAGGACGTAGACCTCAAACGATGCTTCAAGCCGCTATCGAAGAGATCTCTGCCCTAACGCCCGCTGTCCCTGAGCTCTCCTTCCAGGAGTTCATGCTTCTTATCGAACAAGATCTCTCTTCTCTAGAGAGCCAGACTTTGAGAGAGGAATGAAGAGAACTCCCCTTTATCACCGCTTCTAGGTCACACTTGGCCAGCGCCCGCGGCAAGCGCCGATTCCTGCCCCCGGCTCGCTCCGCTCGACCTCGGCGCTGCCGGAGAGCAGCAGCGGGGAGGCTGCGGCTGCCCGAGGACGGTGCCGGCTCCCCGCACCGCCTGCACCCACGCCAGCTTCCGCTCCGAGGAGTCGGAGTAAAAAACAGCATGAAGTGGGGGGAAGCGTCTGACCGCACACACTAAGGTGTATGTGCAAAGCAGACGTCCTTTTTGCCAAATACTAAGACATTCGCTCCGCAAACCCGGTGCTCAGGACAGCCCTGTGGGTACAATCAGGATAAGTCCCACACAACCTTTCGGCGGTCGGAGAGACAGGTGAGGCGAGATTTTACTTGGCAGCTGGTTAATCCAAATTATTTTTCGACAGTTTCCTGCTCCCTTTCAGGACAGGGCGCTCCCTCCCCTGGCAAGTGCACAGCCCAAAGCTTACACGAGAAAAGGCAAAGGGCACGATGTGCCACGGCAGCCTGGCTCCATCATTCCTTTTACTTTAATTCCCCAAGGCCACAAAACAGCCTAGCGGTTATAAGGAAACACCCCCAGGAGAAACAAGTAACTCCCAGTCCTCTCCCAAAAAACCTCTCCCCCTGTACAGGGGAGTAAGACTGACGTTGAAACAACACGACAGGGAGCAGCGAGCACTTTCTCACTGCTGCGATCACTTCCTCGGCCACAAAACATCTCTCTGCTTCACTGCGTGAACCCAAAGCAGAGTCCTCACGGCAGTGCAAGGCCGTGGTACCCAATTCCCCAGGGGAAAGAGAGGGGGGTTCAGGAAACACGGATACAGACCTGGCTGTGGGCCTGAGCCTGCCCTAGTGTCTGCCCGTAGTAGGCAGCCTGCTGTCTGTAATACTCTGCCCAAGCCATCGTGTAGTCCGGCTGGGAACTTGCCTGAGAAGCAGCACTGGCAGCATGACCTGGAGGAAAAGAAGAGAAAGGGGAGAGATGAGCAGTTCAGTAAGACCAAGCCCAGGCTCAGGATCTCCTTTTGTGAAGCTCACAGAAGAGCCAGCCCCCTTCCAACAGCTGCAGACATCTGAAAGAGCAACACCGGCTATCTGCTGTTTGGATAGGACAGGACAGGCGTTGAGCTGGCTTGCAAGTGACAAGCCAACAGCAGCCAGAAAGCGTTAAGAGACCATTCCCGCGGCTGCGGGGACACAGTCTGAGAGCCTGCGCCCTTCATCCTCGGCCCGAAGGCTCCAGCAGCGCGGTGTCAAATGCAAATCCACAAGTCGGCATCATGCGCTTCTTAACGGACTGGAGAAAGCCAAGCCCATGTTTATACACACACGCAGAGCTCTCCTGCCCTCTCGACAACCCAGCTTCAGCTTTCTGGTTTTTGTTAGCGTCAGTTCTTGTTGTGCGCTGTGTTTCCCGCAGGCAGGCCAACGGCCAGGGTGGACAAGAGGTCTACTGTGGTTCAATGGGAGCACCTCTCCCGAGGCACGACAGCAGGCAGCACGACTGAGAGCTTTCAGCGGGAGAACTACATGCACCATCACCAACAGGAGAGGAGCAAAGGGGTTTCGTAGAGGACTGGAAGCTAACGATAGCAGGGGATGGAGACGCAAGTCGTCAGGATGGAGTTAACTCTGTTTACAAGAGTTTACAAACTCTGTTTACAAGTAATTCATCTCCAATAACCCTGTTTCACTCACTCTGTTTTTTGAAATACTCCTCCCATGCTTTGCTGTAATCAGGATGGCTGTTCTGCTGCTGGCTCTGTTGGCCTGTGCAAAGATGACAACAAGGGGCACGTCAATACGGAACAGGTGACAGTTTCCAGCCAGTGACATCTACCTTTCCACTAGACAGGCTCTGGATCTGCCTCAGTTGCCCAGACTTCACACTTCAGCTTCCACTTTCCTACAGTGTTGGGCATCTTCAGTTCAGGGAAAGCCGAGGAAAAGCTGAAGTTCCTGACTTCCCCTCCCCTGTACCCTGTTCAAGGGCATTAAGCCGAGTCCCCCCCCTGCTGGGACCTGCTCAAGCCAAAGCACCTTGGCTGGGAGCTGCTCTTTGTGTGTCAGCCACTCCAGGGTGTCAGTCCGCTCCCACCTCGCACAGGGATGGAGGCTTCAAACCCCTGACAGAGCTGAGACCTGTCACGTCGATCTCCAGCCACAGAGCTGCCAAAGAAACGGTCGTGTTTTGAATCATCTCACTTGGTTTTCAGGGCTCTGGGTCCTTTGCTCCCACTCTCACGAGCAGAGTGCGTCTGAAGGAGCCCCGGCGGGCGATGCCTATCTGTACAACGTGCCCACACCTGAGCCTCCAGCATAACATCTGCCCTCACACACAGCTCCGGGGCAGCCAAACTGCTACCCGCTGCAGAGTCCTTGGGAGCGACGAGAGACGTGGGCCCTGCACAAAGCCCAGCAGCTCCACCTGCCCTCAGCACTACACCCCACGCATCATCCGGAGAGACATCCACGACACCCTCCGAACAGCCACGACTCTGCAGCGCGGTCTCCAGACTATCCCGCACAGATAAGCGGTGCCAACGCCTGCACCGAGACCTTGCAGACCCCAAAACCTTGGTCTTCACCTAGCACAGACTCCCCCCCTCTTCAAAAGACTAAGACACCTTCAATCTCGCAGGTCTAAGTGCTGTTGCAGGGAAGAGTCTGGATGCAGAGGCGGGATGCCCGCACTTCCCTTAGGCACAGAGCAAAGAGCCCTCAGCCAGACACGCGGCAAACAAAAAGAAGCCCTGAACAGAAAACACAGCAATTAGAAAACTGCAGAAAGAGGCAGAGCACAAGCCGCTACGCACAGAGACGGCAGGCAAGGACAGGAGACACGCGTGAAGGAGAGCTCTTCCCAGCCCATCCAAGCGCCTGTGCTCCATGTACAGCCCCGCGCCGCGCCGCCGGCCGGAGGGGGGCTTTGAAGTGGGGGGAAGGGGGAATATAATACACTGCGAGTGTGAAGTGGGTGGAGGGAACAGGGCGGCAGTGTCCTGTCCAGGGGCATAAAAGCGGGTTAAAAGACTAGGAGACACGCGTGAAGGAGAGCTCTTCCCAGCCCATCCAAGCGCCTGTGCTCCATGTACAGCCCCGCGCCGCGCCGCCGGCCGGAGGGGGGCTTTGAAGTGGGGGGAAGGGGGAATATAATACACTGCGAGTGTGAAGTGGGTGGAGGGAACAGGGCGGCAGTGTCCTGTCCAGGGGCATAAAAGCGGGTTAAAAGACTTGACCAACGCTACAAGTCAGGACCTTTTCTGGCAGAGGTCAAGGCTGCCTCAACTGTCCACCTGCTAATGCCAACAAAGGACCTCCTTCAATGCCTTTTCTTCTAGGAGAATTACAGTCCGCAGCAGGCTGAAAGGACACGCAGCTAAATGCATTTCACAGCAAAATGTTTCCCCAGCCAGTTAATTTATTTAAGATGGGGGAAGTAATTAAAATCTAAATACATGTGTAGGGGGTGGGGGTCTGCCCCTCCTCCCACAAGGAGGGCACTCTGGAGCCCGTCCCTGGGAAGCCGGCTCGGAGAAGGACTCAGCTGCTCTTTGACAGGGCTAGCAGAGCTGTGAACAAACGGGCTGCAGCACTTGGGGAAAGGACCCTTTACAAGACTGTCTCCAAATTAAAACTGAAAGTGCAAAAGCAGGTATTTACCTAGTTTCTTATAATAATCCTCCCACGCCTTGGTGAACTCCACCTGGCCTGACTGGGTACCACTGTGATCTGCAGCAGGAGAAGAGAGCGATGAAGGCTGCTTAAAGCACAGCGTTATCTTGTCTGTCCTCTCTGCTTACCAAGACTGCCTTCAGTGTGCCTGGCTACAAACAGGAACACGGAGGATCCTAAGTAGACATGGAACTAGAGAGCCAACATTTTCCATCAGGTTCAACAGCAGAAATAAAACATCTGCCCCCAAAACACAGCCTCGTGGTACTAAACCCATACAGGGGAAGGATAACGGCAAGGCAGGATGCTTCACCCGTCTTGGGAGGCACCAGAAACCTGACCAACTCACAGCAAAGCAGTAGTCACTGGGATACAAGCTGCACTACCAGCAACCAGGGGATTCAAAGGGTCTGTGCTTCTTCCACCAGGCTCCAAAGCCAGGAGGTGGGAGCTTGAGACATGATTACACCCTGGAGGAAGGTAGGGTTTTTTTTTTTCCCCAGTAGCTGATGGGCAGGATAAAAGGATGTTTCAGGGAGATGAGAAAGAAGATGAGTTACTAAGGTGAATTTCTAAAGGCATCTTGCAAGGGAAATAGAAATGCACATTTCATAAGCGTTTATTCGAAGGCTTTATGGGAAGATACAAATGCCGTTTTTTGTAGAGCTTTCCCTGCTGCACCGACTGCTCTGCTTCCCAAAGCTCAGGGAAGCCCAGTGCTCTTGGCGGTGCACAGGAAAGGATAGGAATAACAATTTTTCCTGTAAAACAAGCTAATGGGAAAATACTCTTCTTCAGTACCATACTACTCCATTCCTGTACAAAAAAAACATCCTTTCAAGCCCACCATTGCATTTTTCTGTCCTGAAAATAGAACAACTGTTGACCTTCTACAAGTCCCTAGAGCTTAAAGGAAAAATCATGATTTTTAGACTGTAATTGTTGAGGAGCAGGACTCTTCCAGAGGTGTTTTTTCAGAGCGTAATACACACTTGCCACACAGGGTTCCTATATGCTACTGTAGCACAATGCAGCATTGAGGATTTCCAAATTTCCCATATGCACAATTTCATAAACATTAAAATGTGATTACTGTTAACAGGAAATCACAAGTGCAATTGCAGGCATTGCTCCTCCAATGTTTCCTCTACCTCAGGCATCTCCAAGAGTGGGTATTTATACTGAAGTTAACAATCTACTTCATTGCTAAATCAGCCTTCGTACTGAAAAGCACCTGTCATTAAACCCCTTTAAAATTACGCCCCTACACACATCTTTTAGTGCTTAGCTTTAGTTTTCACAAGACCAGGCCATTAAAAACTCGTATTCCTTGAAAAAAAACTGTGACTGAAAAGCGTCTGTTGGACATTACTGCCCATGACATGAGCTTTGAGGTTATGAAACAGACTATGAATCTGCTCAGTTTAGGGCAAACCATTACTCTGGCTGTTGCGAAGACACAGGATGATGCGGTTACCAACATCACCGCTAGCATTTACTACTTCAGTTGTTCTGAAAAGGGGGACGCCCCATTCCAACCTGCTGAAATTTGACTAAACAGGGTTTTAGGAAGAAATGACACTTTGAACCTTGAAGAATAACAGCCAGCCCGACTCAGTGCCGGTGGCTTGAAGTGGAAAGCCCAGCAGCAGGGGTGATCCAGGTTCAGCTTTTGAACTCTGATGACAAAGGACGAACGTGCACTATTTTTTATTTTATTTCATTATTTGAAAGCTGGTTATCCCGCGGGCCTCATTCTGAGCATTTAGCAATGTGAAAGATGAGCAGTTCTCATCAAGTCCCAAAAAGAGAAGGGGACACTACTGCAGCCAGCGTGGATGAACCAGGATAGAAGCCCTACCCATCCTTTCTTCCATTTTCTGCATTTCCTTTCCTAGTCTTTCCATCAGACTGGGAGTGGAACAGTGAGAAGAGGTCATAAGGAACATTCAAAAAAGAAAATGAGCAAGAACTGATAAGGTCAAGAACACAGCGATGGAAGGGCTCACCACCAGACAGTGTGCCTGTTAGGGGCAAGTGGAGTTGGCAAGTGCTTGCCTGGAGAGTCCTGGCAGAAGAAAGTCTAAGGCAGAAGCGTTTTTGTTAGAGAGGAACACACGGCAAGGACCGAGTTTCTACACAAAGAGAGCAGAAACAGGCGTAAGCAGTTGCGTGCACAAAAAGCATTACAGTTATCAATGGACTTCAGCTTATTCTGAGCTCAAACACCACAGCATGCCTCCACACACCTCTTCTGCTCAGGAAACTATTTTGCTGCTTTCACACAAGCGCTCTCATAGATGAACCTGTCTTTTGCAGGCACGAAGCCCCGGTTGCAAAGGGAACACCGACCCTCCTCCAACCCAGGTCCTGGACACTTACTTGGAACTTGCTGTCCAGGCTGCTGCCACGTCTGATAGGTACTGCCCCAACCCTGCGTCATGAATGCCTGAGGACCACTGCAGAGGACAAAAAGGCATGCTGAAGTAGACAATAAAATACTTAACAGGCCATATACATGAAGTTGCCCACAGAAGCGAAATTGATACTTATAGTCAGCAACTGCTGAGCAAACAGGTGAACACAGGAACAGAAGGAAATGCTGTGTAGGTGTGACTACTGTCTTGATATTGGTCTGTTCATGAAGCCAAGATGCAGATACATCGTGCCGAACAGCACTCCTTGTGATCTATGCCGCTTACGCTTCTTTCCATGCTCTTGCTACACTACAGAGAAATTTTGGAGATGCCAGTACCTACCTTGTTTACAATTCAATAGTTAAATTCCTTCCTGCAGTCAAGCTTAAAGGCTTCATCTCACTTGCTTCTGATGCTCAATCTTTAAAAGGCTCCACTTATACATCACCCAACCATGGCCCTCCAACCTTTTCCCAGTGCTTTTATAGCTCCCAGCCATTCCCCATAGCCCGTCCGTGATGAGACAGAGAAGCTTACTTTTGATGAGGTGTAGCAGGTGCTTGGCTGAACGGACTTTGACCAAATCCTCCAGGTCCACCCATGCTGGTACCCTGTCACAGAATCCACAAATATTTAATGCCAGCTCTAAGCACAGGGTGGAGGCAGCTAGTATGAGCAGTAAGAAAGGAGAGAAGACAGCCTGGGACACGTTCCACTAAACCCCAGCACCTGAAAGAAGTGAATAATTCTCCAAGGATGAAGTTCTCAGGACTGTCAGTGCACTCCAGCAGCCGAGCTTCAAAAGCAACTCCGGTCAGCCCACCAAGGGGCTAACGGGACCAGGGCACAGTTGGAAGTTTTCCTTTGAATAGCATGGATCCTGAGGTTGGTATCAAGCCTTCTCCTCTCAAGCAATTCAGCATAAAGTTTGCTTTTCAGCTTTACCATGCCCCAGTTCAGTATCTTCCACACGTTCTTTTACCCGTCTCCCCCTTCAGCAGAACTCCAGCTTGACATTATTCAGCTTCAATACCACAGCGCTACATTAAGTGGAAGATAAAAGTCATCCTGGATTTACTGCATCAAGGAGTTGAGTGTTACTTTCAGCAAGATGATGTCAGGATTGTGTCATTCTCATGCAGTGACGCTATTGTCTTCCCTTCAAAAAAAATCTCCTTTGACAGCCTTCTCATACCTTATTATTGCTGTTCTTCCCTCTGCACACTACCCATGATTATGTCAGCAAACAGTCAGATCCTTCTGGGATCACAACAAAAATTAGTCCAATAGATGCTGTGAGATCAAAGTTCAAGACAGCTGCTAACAGGCAAATGGTTTTGAAGCTAAATAATGTAAGCGTGTGTATCCTATGCTATCCTGTAAGTCCAGGCCTACATGTACCTACAAGTGAAAATACCACATCTGAAAGGACAGACCAAGATCAATAGAGATGGGACTTACACCAACTTTCTCATCTATGAGATGTCTAGCGAGTTCAATTTGCTGGGGAACTCCTCTGATTGTGAATATTCGTACACCAGGGTCTGTGTTTGGAGGTGGGTTTCTCTGGAGCTCAACATGGGCTCCTGACTGCTGATTTATGCTCTTGATGTTCTCACCACCTGAAGAAAAGAAAACCGAGACATAAGACGACATTCAGAATCTTTTTCCATAAAAGCATAATACAGTCAGGCTCTGGTAAAGGAATATAGTTTCAACTAACATCTTCTTGCCTCAAGGACGTGGGCTGAGGATGGCAACAGCATAAGAAGCCACAGTACCTGAGCTCATGTTGCTCCTTTAAACTCCCTCATAAGCATGACCTGAAATTCTGAGCTACTGCAACGGTTCTTGAGGTCATGGATGATGCTGTTTTAAGAATAAACACGGTCCCCCTGTGTGCACATTGCTAGGCTCCTAACAAAATGCAGCATGGCTCAGATACACTTTGACATATCAGATGCGAAAACTGTACTGACTGAATTCTGGTGGTTTTGCACAGCTGTTAGCAACTGCCAAGAAAAGAAAGTCACCTGCAACCGAAACGTCCCTTTTTCTTTCTTCCGTGAGGCTTTTTTCCCCATCACTAGATATTTCATTCCACTAAGGCAAAAAGCCACCAGCCACATACCTTGTAGCTTAAAAACAATGCTTAAGCTTTCTCACAATCGTGTGCTGGGCAATAGCTTATTCCCTTAAAGAAACCTCTGCTTCCCGCGCTTCCTATTCACACCGCAGCGTACACATCCCTCCACACAACTGCAGCAGTACAGGATTGCAGGCAGTCTCCCACTATTTCAGAGTAAGTTGTGCATGCGGTGAACATATCTGGCTAGTTTGCCATCTGGATACACTAGAGCACAGGAATGCTTCGAGCAGGATGCAGCAGGGCCAGCCTAAGTAGATCTGATTTCCTGAAGACCTGCTAGGTCCCAGTCTCTTAATGAAATTTGCTTAACAAAAGCCTCAGCCAATGTTACAATGGTTCAATTCTTCTTTGGGAAGCTCACACAACTTACAGACCAGCTCCACTCAACTGGAGAAATTAAAGGGTGCAGGGAAGGAAGGGGTTTTACAACTTTTAAATCACAAACCAAAAATCACCAGCCAATAGGACATACAGCAAGCAGGAAAGAGAGCAAAGGAAACTAACTGGAGATTTTTGTTTGGTTTTAATTAAAAAGAGTCTCCAAAAATAATCTCCTCGTTTTTCCTTGCATTTCCATCCCTATACATCCAGCACAACTTCAAAACAAACTGTGGATCTTGCAGACACTTGTTCATTTCATTGTAATGGACTCGTGACCTTTTTAACATTTTAAAGCCTTCTCGGGGAAGGGAGGAGGAAAAGTTGCCAAAGGGCAATTAACTCTTTCTAAATGAATTTTTGAAGATGCATTTAACAAAAGATAATCGTGTCACATCCCTGGGCAGACAAGAGCGATTGTACTGTGCAGCCAAAAGCCAAGGCACTTATTTTCAGTCAAGCATGGGAAAGCGGTAAGATGAAGTTTCAAAACCAGTAAGGTTTTTTTATATAATGCTTTTGTCTGATGAAGACTTATTTGAAGCTCTAGCTTTAACATACTGAGGTGAGATCTGAACCAACAGCCATTTCATCTGCTTAACAAAAACAGAGGACCCTTTTAGCCAACACATTTTGGATCATAAAGGATTGGAAGAACTCCTTTACTGGGCAACAGAGGCATAAGCATAGGTTGCTACTTGCACACCAGACTAGGTTTCTCCTTCCAAAAAGGGATCAAAAAATCAAACTGGAAGCAAGGAGAATATACATTTGAAATAATTTCCCCATTTAGCGTTCAGCACCGAGCTGGTAGTTGTTGGATCTGTTTCCACATCAGCTCTCTCCTAGACCACACTGCAGGATCAAATTAGTTGGCTCTCCAGGTTTGGCCAGAGGCTGCAAGCTCCCACCGTTGTACCAGGACTCGGTGCCCTTCTCTGCCTTACCCTCCAGTCTGGTACATGCCAAATCGTTCCCTCCCATCAAATGGTCCCAATTCAGCCTCCAGAGCATGCAAATGAAGTGACGCAGTCAGCATGATGCTGCACGGTGCCGGAAGGAGTTCATCTTCCCCCATAATGAGGTGACCCGCTCGGCACATGGTGGCTGTCTATAGACGCATTCAGCAGCCCGCTCCATTCTTCTACCTGATGGGGGGCAGAAGTGATCCAAGAGCGGCCCCCCAGCTGGACGTGAAATCGTAAAGCAATTAATCAAACCTGCTAAAAGGCAGAGCTGACAAGAGCCAGGCCGGCCACGTTATCTGTCAATATTGCTGTATTTATCATGGAAATCCAGCAGGGGCCCAGAGAGGCTGCGGTTTGTTTCCAAGCACTACCAAACAGAGAAAGCGCTTGACATGTGTATGGCGCTCGTCTCCACCCTTCCTCGAGTCTTTCTGAAAAGAAAATCTGCACCTACCCACCCTCAAGAGGAAAAAGCTACGCACGTGATTTGCAGGGAGCCGCGCACTTCTTATCAGCTCATAAAGGCTCACACTCCCAAGCTGAGAAGCGGTGCCCATGAGAAAAGGCCCCTACATCCTCTATGATATATGCTGCAGAAACCGAGCTGAGAAACTTTCCCATCTCCCTCTTTCCCCCCCTTCTCGAGTGGTGACATGGAGCTGGAAGCACAGCAGCAGCACCTGGCCACATCACATACACTACACCTGGGGGCTGAAGATGCCCGCTGCGTGGGTGCTAACCTCAGAGAGCAAGCTACCTGTGCCCAGAGGACATGGCCAGATTTTACAGAGAAGGCTAACAGCCAAGTCCTATATCACAGGGGGGAAAAAAATAGGCAAAAAAAAAGCTGGAAACTGCTCAGAAACGAAAAGGAGGGAGCAAAGGTCTTACTACTGGTCACTGTTACAAAAAAAAAAGCCAACCACTAACATCCCCTCTCTCCCCTACACTGCCCCACAGGCAGTGGGAGAGGAAATAAGAAGAATCAGGTGTCTCGCATCAACATATGGTGAGCGCAGTACATCCATCCTGGTCCAGGCCCCAAAAGGCAATGCTACAGCCATCACTCACTTGACAAAAATGAAGGCTGCAATAGACTAAGAGCATAGGCACTGTAAGAACACCGATTACAAGGTGGTATTACAAAGCTACAAGCACTCAAATCACCATACAACTAGTAATTAGTCACTCCGGAAAGCTTCTGATCTGGCCGGGTAAGAATCCCTGTTTTGCTGTTGTGGAAACAAAGGTAAAAAGCTACCCTTCACCCCCACAGTGAGCCTGTGCCAGGACTTGCACTTGAATGCTAGGACATCCAACTCCGCTACCTGCATTTATCTTTTCAGCACACAGTGCTCTCTGTAGTCACAAATGCTCCACTTCAATGCACTGCTGAACAACAAGTGACCTTTTCTGATCCTTTATTAAGGATGACTAATGGATACAGCAATAAAGTTTCATTATAATTTGATTTTTCCATACATATAACTCTCACCTGTGGGCTTAATATTTGCTTTGCTTGATCTTTTGCCCAACTGGACTGTTCAGTGAGATCAAGCACAACCACTCTGCAATTTCTGCATAACGGGGAGGGCAAGTGGTTTTTTTCATATTGAAAAAAAAGTTTTCAGGTTTGTGAACAGGTTTACGGCAAAGAAAAACACCTGAAAATAATTGCAGATACACTGCTGACATGCCTGCGTCCCATACCTGTGCCCCTTGTCATCCAATAAGGCAGCAGTTCAGGGTGCCACCGGGGCCAGACACATGGAGAGGAACAAGTGACATGCAGCAGTGGTGTGCAGCTGCGGAAGGAGGCCACAACACGTTTCATTGCAAGCTCACTCCTGCCCAACAGGGAGGCAGGAAACTAAATGTCACTGAAACATGGCATGATGCCCTCAAGTCTCTGCCTCCTTTACCGTTGTAGCTAATCTGTTCCTATTCTATTCACCTCAGCTCTGCTGATGCTAAAAGCCAACTGCAATTACTTAAGTACTAGTTAAGGCATATGTCATTCTTTCCGAAATAAGCAGATAGAAAAATTAAATACAACTCCTTTGATACATCAGTGTATTAACTCAGAAGCATCGCAACAATTCAGAGTGATAGAGCTCTATTCCTGGCTCTAATCTAAGTACTGCCATTACCCGATGCGTAGCTCATGCTCTATGACAAATTGAGGCTGCTGCTGATTCTCTGGTCTCATAATCGTCGTGGGGGTGTACCAGTTTTTGAGAGGAGGGCCAGATGACTCCTTGTCCACACCGCTGGCATGGAGAGATTCAATGGCTAAGGCAGCCAAGGGGACTCCATGGTAGTGAACGTGCTCCTCTGAGTGAGATGAGGTGCGCCAGCCTGCTCGGCGACAGGCTCAGGCACAGGCGAGCCCTGCTACTTCACTTCATTCATCAGACACTTCAGGTATGCGGCTGGAAGCAGCAACTGTTATTACCACATTCAGAGACCTTCCATTTTATCACATGGCACTCACAGAAATCCAGCATGACGAAATGACTGTTCTGCTTGTCCCTGATAAACTGTTCTTTAAACGAATTCTCTATAAAAAGAATCCACAAATGAACCTGCCTTTTCTCAGCCAGCTGCTTGTTATAACAAGCTTACTTGACAGCTCTGCATGAAGAGCCTCTCTTACATATTGTGAACAAGGGCCTGGAGAGTACAATTATGAGTGAGAGCACCACAAAGAAAACAACCACAAGCGCTTATAGCTTATTCCTATGCTGCATTCACTGGCCGCTAAATACCTGCAATTACAGAAAACTCCAAAGCTTCACTGTCAGGCGGCAAGAACGCAACCATCCCGAGAGAGAAAGATTGCAAGCTCTAGTATTTAGTGTCACCGGACCCACCTTTGCCTATAACGAGACCACATTTATCGGCTGGCACCGTGTAGGTTATTTCCTGCATCCCCCCAGGTGTTCCAACGCTCCAGTCCCCACGGCCACGACCTCTTCCTCGGGCGACAGCCAAACTTCCAAAGCCATCTCGTTCCTTGGAAGGCAAAAAATTTGTATCAGTGTTTTTTTTTTTCTGGCCCCAATGCACATTAAAAACAAAATAAAGCAAGGTAAGTTAAAATGCATTATAATCAATGGCACTGAATTAAGATATTCTTGGACTTCAGTTTCATATCCAAGATTTTGAAGCACTTTAAAGAAATGCCAAGTAACATAAGTGATAGTTGTCTTCCTGACTCAGGAAGATATTTATATTTTTTAAATGCATGCCTTTGTATCTGCTGAAATAAACCTATAAACAAGCATCAACTACTAAAGGACTTTTAGTTTGTGGTAGGGGCTTATCTTACAGCAACCAATAGATCTTGGCACTGACACACACAGAAGTTGCTTCCAAATCCTTTCAAGTGTTGTTCTTTAAAGAACTGCTGGAATTACTCAGCTGAAATGCACATTTTTCCGAAACTTCCAAAGGAAGCTTTTAAGTTCAAAGACACTTGAAGGACATAACTATTTTGGGTAACTGATTTCTCCAAAAGCAAAGGCCATGGGCAGAGACAGACCTCAAAATTTAAGTGGATTATTAAAAATAATCTGAGATCAAGTATTGAAACTGGATCTCAGGGCAAGAAGGAGTATCAAAACGTACCTTTGATGGGGAAATTATGCTCAGGTATCTGGTCTGGAATCATCTAACATCTTTACTTCTCATAATACAAAGGGAATATACAATCTCCTTCATGAGTCTGCTCTTCTACTTTACTCATCTTTGTACTTCTTGCTCTTGGGCAATGCAATACGTTGGTGTCTTCCTCAGAACACGGTGACTGCAGACGTGAGCATTCCTTGCCTTCCCCTGCCTCCCCTCCCACTGTCCTGGACCAGAGGACACTGGTCTGGAGAGGAGGCATCACTGAGCGCTATTAACGCTCTGCTGCCCGAGCATTACTGAGCTGAGCCACTGTCTCACACTAGTGCTGGACTCCATTCCACCAGGTCACCATTTCCAAGTAACTTAAGAACAACTAAATATGTGGGGTAAACGTGGAGCTACAACGAGGCCTCATAATACTGCCTGAGGAGACCTTCTCATAACTTGGTCAGCCCATGTCACATTAAAAACACAAATAAGCAAAAAAACAAACCTAGCAGTTCTGTCCTGGGCAGCAGCATGTGTGCCCTACCAGAGGGAAAATTTAACATTGCTGTTCTTCCGATGGTGGCATCCATCCACACAGCTGCATGCGTGCAGACTACATTCCTATATAAGCACTTTCCTCCCGAGAGCCTCCAGAACCCACCTGTGCCGTGAGAATGAGCTCACTGATGATGTGTGCTGCGTGCTGACACCTATCAGGAAGCCCCATGACCTGTGCGACTCTTTCAGAACTAATCCCATCATCTGTGAAGAGAGGTGGCAAAGACTAAATTAAAAGAAGAAAACATCCACCCGCCAACAAAAGCTTCCTTCTAGCACCACCATCGCTAGCAGCATTTTCACACAAAACTACCCCAAGAGCTACCTCTTCCCTCCACCTTCAGCCCCTCTTCCATGGACTGAAAGAAGACAAAACCCAACCCACATTGCAGAGGGAACAATATTCAAAAGGCAACACTTTCAAATGTCAAAAAGCCATGAAAGAGACTGATATAATTTTAAGAGGACAAAGGCAGCTTTGATAGGTGATCAGACAGCCAAGGACCCAGAGAAAGTTACTTAAAATTAATCAACTCCTGATCCCAAAGGCTTTAATGTCCTGAAGGAGAATTCTTTAACAGATACAAGTTTTTTTGTTATTGTTCTGTTTTTCCATATAGTTACCACTCAAGCCATGACTGTTGTGACATCTAATGTTTGCAAATGAGCTGTATATAGTCTTACTCTCTGGAAAAAAAAAAAAAAAGGTGCACAAGGAAGCAGCACATCATATTTAAACAGGTTTCAGAAAGAGAGACAATGCATCTTTAACTTAGGAAAGCCTAGTTGCTGCAACCTCAGATCAGATTCACTTTAGCAATCCCAAACTGGAACACTGGTTAGAAAGTAACAGCTCTCCATCCTCTCACAAACCTGGTTTAAATTGAATCCTAACTCCAGCATCATTCTGAATCTTTTTGATCATTTCTCCATTTCTTCCTATCACAATTCCAACAGCAAACCTGGGCACAGAGACCTGATGGGAAAGGCAAAGCAGTGTGAAAGCTCAGAGAACTAGACTGAATTACTCTGATTTTACAAGGAGATGCTCTTAACTATGAGGACAGGCTGTGTTAGGCAGCTCCAGGCTACAGAACCATATCCCTTAAGAAAAAACAAACATGTGGCCACAAATTCCTTCCCCACTAAATGAACTCTGCACTACAAGAATGCAGCTTAAAAAGACAATTAGAAAAGTGCCATCTGGGAGTCCATGAGAACTCCTCCTCTTTGCAGCCAGACTCACTCTTCTGGCAACAGAACACAATGCATTTAAAAAAATAAGCTTACAGGTTACATGTGCAATTTGATGACTTCCACCCACTGCCCATCCCACAGGGAGGTTAGCAGAGTACTCGTGAAGAAAACATACCTCTATGCTGCCTCCTCCCATTCTAGAACTGAAATCATTGCGTACGCCTCGGAAGTCTGCCTGATCTTTCTCTCGGATGATCTCCAGTACCATTTCCCTTGCTTGCTACATGGGGAAAGAAGTTACAGTTAGCTTAAAATTATCCTGCTTGCCATCTTGGTGTGGGGGCCTCAACAGTGGCTAACGGTCAGGCTTCAGGCAAAGCGATCTCCATCTGCTTAACGGAAACAGCGTTCTGATTTAAAACTTCTTTTACCACAGCCAATGGAGATCTGTTCTTGGTGGAATCTTCCATATCTGACAAAATCTGCCAAGTGTGCAAGGTGGCAGTTTTTTGTGTGCAATTGCTTCCTTCAGTCTTTCAAAAAGGCCCTTTAGCTTTTAAAGTATCTTTGATTTTTTTTTTCTTTTGGTTTTGTTTTTAAATTAAAAGGAAGGGAAGGCCCTTTCCTAGTGGATACAACTGAAACCAATATAGTAAGGTAGAAGCTGTGGTAGCATAGCAGAGCACATCCACTAAGAGCTAGAGAGCATGTCCCAAGGAGGCAGGTGGGCAGTAGTGAGCTTATTGACACTCAGAAAAGTTAAGCCCAAGTCTGCAGCAATCAAACAAGACATTTTCTGAGACAAACAAATATTCTTCCTACCTACTTGCAGCCCTCAAGGCCATTCACAAGCTTGCATGTAGCCCAGCTAGCAAAAGTGTACCTCGGAAATAAGCCAACAGTAGTCACCATTAAAAAAAAAAAAAAAGCCTACGTGTCAAAACCAAAACCTTTGTTTCTATATATTACCAGTTAAGCTTTTGACATTTTGGTTCTATTTCCAAGTTTGAGGGACACTGGTGAATCTGACTCCTTTCACATTTATACATATCTTCCATGCCCCCGTGGTATTTTTTTTTTACAGAAGGAAACAACTCAAGACATTTCAGAGATGCCAAGACAGAAATAAGGGCAATGGAGAGATTTCACAGGGATTTGATAGTTAAGAAACACTGTTGCAGCATCCAGAGTATCCCACCAAACACAAGGATTCATCGAGCTTCTGAAGTGCTTTCTAAGCGTGCTCAACTTAGTTCTAAGTGCCTCAAAGATCTTCTAGCCTAAGCAGTCTCCATGATTGCTTGGCATGATTTATGGCACGGAAGATGTGACGACAGCAAATCTTACAAGGCAGAAGAAACCACCTGGGAAGTAGCAGCACTTAAAGTATCATCTGGTTAAAAGTAGTAAGTATCATCCGGTAAAAGACCACCAGTAAACTCCTTTTTGCATATCTGTACCACCACATTAAGTATTTTGAAAAAATAAAATAAAATAAATCCACATTTAAATCTGAAAGCCAACTTGCAATAAGAGGTTTGAAAAACACAACCCAAACATGCTAGCCCTGAGCAACATCAACTGTTGCAGCAATTTCTGATTAGGGAGATCCTATGAAACAGAACTATTTTTAGTAGAGACAGGAATGCTAAGCTAGATTTAAGTTCTTAGCAAGGTATGAAAAGCACTTGCTGAGACGTGGAACATGCCACAGCTAAACTTTAATTCTTTAATTCAAGCATTCCCATCATGCTGTAATCTTCCAGTCTCTGGCTGACCATGGGCTTTTGCTTTGAATCGCAGGTAAGAACACATCTGCAGAAACCTGACACAAGGAGACTGAGGTACCAATATTAAGCAAACCCCTTGGTTTCAGGAGTTGTCATGGGAATATTTTTTTTTAATTACCTGCGTCAATTGGCTGTCTGAGATAATGAACCTTCCACAAAACTTTCTCAAATGTGTGGTTAAGTTAGTCACTAAGAACCCATTTGCTCAAGTAACATATAGCTATGATTTTTTTTGCTTCACAGACTGGAAAGCATTTCAAAGCTACTTTCTCCAAACCCTCCTCCTCAGCTTTTATCCTACCCATGGCTAATATCTATGTGGAGTGAGAGCTCCTAGGTTACGCTGTAAAAAAGCCAGCACTTGCTAGTCTTGTGTTTTAACTTGCTCTACTCAAACTTCATCCTTACAGAACAAACAAAACCAGTAGGGATCATTACATTTACGGTTGGATTTGACTCCCATTAGATGCTCACAAATATGTTAAAGTTTAAATTTCTCTTCAGTTCTCTAAGGCAACTGCTTACTTTTATTACATACCTGTACTTTAAATGCATCTCCAGTAATACGGAGAGGTTTATCTGCTCCAGTGGGCAACGGACCGTCTTGGATCATAATCATTTTCACACCTGTTCGCTCCTGAAGAAAAAGCACAGAGCACTTTGCTAAGCAGAGTCCCTAAAACAAGGGACTATATTTTGGTTACTAAACATTACGTAGGTCAAATCAGCAGCTTTACAGAATGCTACTTTAGCTCTTCATGGATACTTAGAGCACAAATTCAGTAATAGTCCTCGAGTGTAATGGACTGCCAGAAAGTGTGCTGCTCCTGAAGTTCTCAAATAGCTGAATCCCTTGCAAAACAAGAACCCCCCGACCTCAACAACTTTTTTCAGCCCTTTCCAAAATCTGTAGCTGTTTGGATATCAAGTTAAGCTGTCTGCATAATTAAGTTATGTGACCAGTGTTAAAACTATTGGATGACAGAGGGGTAATCAGGGCACTCAAAAACTACTTTTTTGACCTGGGTGCTTTTCTGAAACCCTCTATTCTTTAAAAAACTCCTACCAGATGGAGGAATAAAGAATGTCTATGAACACAGATTTATACATAACACAACACTTAATTAGAAAGGGGTGGGATGAGAAAAAAAGGAAGACACACACCAGCTTCATCACAGATCAGCAACAAAAGAGAAGCACAGCACTCTACAACAGCATGGCTGGCATTAAAAACTATTGCAGCAGCAGACTAGAAATAGCCTTTTCTTGGCTACAAGGATCCCCTCCTAAACAGCACGCACCAAATGTTATCTAAAGCCCATGAGTTTCTTTCACAGTTCTGGCAAAACTCCACTACGTGCGTAGCTAGGGCCAAACGGATTTCTTTAACACAAGATTGGATTTGAGTCCAGCTCTCCGAAGGCAGAAGAGTAGTCCCTGCTGTAGAAGGTGAGAGCATTTAAGGCTCTCCATTTCAGCACGCTCTTGTCCATCTAGAGAAGCTGCAGTAGGGAAGAGAGCCCTAAAGTAAATGCATCTTGCGCACCTGCAACTGTTTTATTGTTTCACCTCCTTTGCCGATGACTAGACCCACTTTGGATGCCGGGATCAAAATCTCCTGAATCGTACTGTTGCCATCAACATCGTTGTGAAAACCAGGTCCGTTCCGACAGCGATCTACAATCTGCCCCAGTAGCCGTTTTGCTTGTCTTTGGAAAAGAATCGAGGGAAACAACCATTAGACAACATTGTTCCACGTGACCAAGAGACCAGGAACCATCGAAATGGGAAGCGATTGGGGAGAGGAGAAGAAGTGAAAAGATGAAGGAAACCACAGTTAGCACAATGCTTGGGTTTTGTTGTTTTTTGGTTTTGTTTTTTGTTTTTTTTTTTTTTTTAAAAAAACCTCTGATGTATATTTTTCCCCTATCATGATTACTAATAAGCTGTCTGATTTTTGAAAGGGGAAGAGAGAAGGAAGAGCAGCAGCATGCTCTGACCTCTTCGGAAGTTAAGGATAACAGTTAAGCTATAGCATTTGGGGTGCTTATTTGAATGAAGATGCTCTACATCCTAAACTTTTCTAAACTATATATGTACAATATCTGGAAAAACACAAGCTCTGTTCTCCATCTTGGTCAAGACAAAAACCTCACTGCTCTGACACTAACACAGCACATTGGTTAACCACTCTCTGCTCAGTCACAGGCAGCTGCCTTGCTCTTCTCTGCCTGCTCTTACCAGCAGCACCAGAACACTGTTCTAACACAGCCTCTGCCCCAAGCAGTAGGTGCTGAAGCTACACCGCGAAGCGAGGCAAGGATACTGCAGCAGCAACCAGTGAAAGACTGGGTTCTTCTACTCCTGGTGAGAATAGACAGACACAAAGAAGCATTTGGGAGATTAAAGATACCTTCTCTAAAATCTTTAGCACATCAAAGGTAGCTGATAAGGGTTCCCTTCATCTTGAAGACTCCTAGTACCAACACATCTTTTTCCTGCCCTTCTCCCATAGCCCCTCTCAAAGTAGGTAGAAGGCACCAGTTGGCTATTCAGTCTAAAGCGGCATATTCCCCTTTTTCCACTTCATACCAAGCTATATCAGCCACCCTAGGAGGACTGTCTTCTCTCTGGAGATTTGAAGAAACAGTACAAAGTCATCCCTCGCAAACAGATGTTCACCCAAGACAGCTCAGGGGGTGGTGATCTGAGCCTGCACACAGATCAGAGCACTGCTTTCTCTTGACTTTCCTCACAACACAAGCAAAAAGTGGAATTTCTGGAAGCCCATTTCTAATATTGTGGAAGAATCTTAAGAGGTTTTATTCATCTACCTTCGTATTTCGCATAAAGTTCTTTTAGTGACAATATAGAGACTACAACAGTTAATACACAACGTATTTCAGATGAGAAGGGGTCACCTGGAAATTGGCCCTATTATTTTCCCAGTGGATATAACTAATGGACTCCTCACACAAAAGAAGTCCACATCTACATTGGTTTCCTTACCTAATTTTCTTTTTCTATAAGTAGCCTGGAAAAATAATTCAAACAACCAACTTTGCAAGAATTTTAACACAAAACTGAATTAAATTTTGCCTAATTCCATGTCCTTAACACCTTGCTCTGCTTCGCAAATTGAGTATTCTTACTTTTCATTTTTTAAATTTATTTATATTTTAACTAAAGACAGTCTTGGTTGGACATAACTACATTTAACTGCTTATTTCAGAACCATGAAGTCTTAACTATACCTCTCTCCCATTTTTCCCCAACTGCATCTCATCAGGCATCCCAGCTTTTTAATATTTTGCTCTTGTTCTGAAACATCCTTTGCTAAAGGGGGAAAAGCACTTCAATATCAGCAAGAATACATTGCCTGCCCTATAATGTGAGCTTGCCAATTATATTTATTCTGGCTCACTGCTTGCAGTATTGTGGTAGAATAAGGAGATTTACGTACCCTTAGATCTCTTAGGAATGGAAGAATGATGAGTGTCTTCTCTTTAGAGAGACAATCTTTGTGCCCATGTATTTTCACTATCAAATGCAACTCAAAGATTTCCAGATGGATTTTAAAAAACCCACCTACCCAAAGGCTGGGGAGAGAAAGAGCAGCTCCATATGTTAAGTGTGTTCCTGTAAGCCTGAGGATCCTGGATCCAGTTCCAGCAGGAGGTCCTCAACTGGTTTGTGAGAGTCTCAAACTCAGCTCCTGGGAAGGGGGAGGGAGGAAACACTGTCCCTAAAGTTTCTATAGGCCTAAAGAGTAGAAACCCCTGCTGGCTGGCCACGTGTCTCTACCATGCAGGGATCAGAATTCAAGGCTTAGGTTCAGTCCTTTGCTTCTTGTTGGCAGCGATGCAGAGGCAAGCACACCCATGGGCCTCGTGCTGCTCTGCAACAACACCAACACCTCCAGATTATTCTGGAGTGGCACCGACAGGCTTTGGAGGCCTCATGCAGCCCTTCTTCAGCTGCAAGGATGGTCATCTCAATAGGAGTAGGGAAGTGAAGGGGAAAAGAGAAGTGCCCTTCAACAGCTTAGCTCAGTGTCCTGGAAAGCTGCAGTTAGAAAACTGCATCCTAGGTGCCCTAAGAGCCACCTTGCCCTGCGGAAGGGAATTCCATGGAAATTTCTGCAGAGGGTTCACACTGCAACTGGAAAAAAGCCTTTGAGGTGCGCAGTTTAAAGCATCAGACCAAGAGGTTCTATGCTCCAGAGACCCTCAAGTTTCTCTAGGCCAACATTTGTTGGTGTGGCTAACCAAGTAGCACCACTGACAGAGCACAGCATTAGGGAGAAGAGAGAGAAGGAGAAAGGAGAGAAATTAAATCAGAACTCACTCAATGCTCTCTGGCGTCCCGGTGAGTACACAGGGCCTCTCTGGCATCCCACCACTGTCTACAAAGGAAACAAGAGGGAAACTTTTAATACATGGAATTAAAAAAATGGCAGCTGTTTCAGTAACTGTCAAGCACTCATGGAAGCAACCCCCTCCTGCACACAGAGCATGTTAATGAATTCAAAGACACCCAGGGTCAACATATTCTAAATGATTTGCTGGATGTCTGCATTCTTTTAAAGCCTTCGCCACCAATTAAAGGGAGGGATAAGAACTTAGCTTACATTCATCAACGGTTTCCTGTACAGCACTATAGTACAGTCTTCCCCAAACCATATAGGTACTAGCACAAAGCAAACAGATGGTGCCATTTTTTCGATGCAAGGCAAGTTGAGTTGTACAAAGAGTTGCTGCCACCCTCCTGAAACACCTTCTGCCAGGAGATGGAGCTGACCAGACTCATCAGCAACAAACCACATGATCTGAGCAAAGTGGTACCACCAGCAGAAAACTCAACAGCTACAATTTCACGTCTAAGTACAGCATGGATTGTCCATTTGCACTGTACCCACTTGTTAGTTCAGGACAGTTCTTTAATTGTTTTATTCCCCAAACCACCTGACAAACCTGTTTTGTCTGGTAGTCAGGAGGTCTCTGTCCTACAACAGCTCTCCCATGCATGTTAGCCTTATATATCAGTTGTTAACGGTAATAACACGTCACGAGCATGGCAAGGCGCCCGATCTAATGGACACAACATCCTTCAACGTTAAAACCTGTTCATCCACCATACAAAGAGGTTCTTACCTGGGGCAATTTGAATTTTGCAGCCAGACTCTGCCTGAATCCGTGAGATCTGTTCACCTCCCCTGCCGATTACTGAAATGAGTTCAACAAGCATCAGAACATACCATTTTCCTGAGTAACTGCTGAGCACCTTCCCCCTTTTACTCCACTGCAGCTATCTATAAAGGAACAGTTTGACTCCAGGATTGCAGAAGAGGCATCCACAGCATGATCAAATTTATCATAGTAGAAAAACATTAAGATACTGCTGAAAGTTATTCTATTTGCTTGGGAAAAAAAAAACACCACAACAAAACAAAAAACCTGTCTCACACTGGAATGGAAATACATAGTATGCAAGAAACAAGGCACTAGTTTGAGTACTGCTAGAAGAGTATATCTTGATCAGCCTGAACCCATAAACCAGTTATTTGAGGCACTAAAAAAGGCAAAGACTTTTGCTTTTTTTTTCCCCCCCCTGTAAAATTCATATTTTACTACCTCTTTTCAAAGGACGTGCTATTTGGCTGGTCTGCACTCACACAAAACTGCTACATACTGAAATGCTCTATCAAACCTTAAGTGAAAACAAACACCCATCTCCCTTAACTCTTGGAGTTGGCACATTGGTGTTTCACAAGACATACTGAGGAGGGACCATGTGCCAATCACCATTTATATCCTACCCTAACTCCAAGAGAGAACAAAACTGTCAAGTCAAACAGGTACCCCTGGCTCAAGATGCTCCCACAGAAGTGGGTTTGCCACCTTCCTGCATCTGTCTGGCCCTGACCCAGGATTAGATTTAACACACAGATGATGCACCACCGGAGCATACAAGCTCCCCTCCCACAGAGCTACAGCATCCCTCTGACATCCCCCCACACGTGTGGTATGAGGACCAATAAAGGAAGCGGTCTGGGAGGAGGAGAATGAATGTTTCCTTTGCAGGAATTCAAGTTAGTTTTATAGTGTCTTTGGTTGGGACAAAACTTCACACACTAAGGGGTAATTATCATGGCCTGTTATTTTCCTTTTTACTCTCCATGTATCAAATTGGAAGAGATACAGAGATCTAGCAGTGGAAGAGTCTAGGCAGTCACTGTAGTAACACATCAGCAGGAGGTGCCATTGAAAGGAAGAGTAATGATCATCAGGAGGAAATTAGGATCAAGCTTGAAAAAGAATAGTATCAGGAATGCAAATCTAGGAAAAATTCTCATCTGAGCAACGCATGCTTGTTGCGTTTCCCTGCAGCAAATGTATGAGAGATTTACCATTCTGCTTAACTTGCTTTGAGTCAACTCTTATTTTAACATTTAAATGTTGTTTTCCTCCCTCAACTCTCAGTTTTGCATTCTCAAAGGAAGTAAGATGTTTCTATGAGGGGAAATAAAGTAACTTTTGACTTGTTTATATCCTATGCTAGTGGGAATTTAAAGGAGAGAATCACTAAAACTCTGAGTAACTTGTACCACACAGTCTTGTTCTTATTACTGGGACACCAAGCTTTTCCATGCAGTTTGCACCTAGATTTTAAACACAGATCATCTGGTCCTCATGAAGACAGCATTAGACAAGGCTTATCCAAGTCTAGTATGCATAAAAACTTGCGAACATGTCAGAATAAACAGCATTCCTGCACAGAAAACACATCAAAAAACATATCAAAAGCATCCAAGGTACTTACTAAATCCAACCATTTTATCAGGCACTTTGAATTCTTCTGTTATTACAGCCCTAAAAAAAAAAAAGGAAGAAAAAAAATCAAATAGTCATTACAAAGAACAATTTGGAAGACAACTATGTCCCTGCCATGGAAACCAGGCACAGCATAAGGCTTTTGCACACAAAAGTAAATACTACATCACAAAATCATTTGTTTTGGAAGGGACCTATCATGGTCACCTAATTTCTCTTATGTTGGATATTTTTCCAGTCTACTCTCCACTATCTTTAATGGAGCTGACAGAAGAACGAACCTCTCCTTGTCATTCTTGCTCCAGACAGATTTAATGGAATACCAGCAAGTGTCTTTAATATTTAGCCTAGACCTTCCAAGCCACAGTCTCTGCCTGCTACTTTTGGATATGCTTTTGCCAAGAAACACTAACCAAAGCCAATCCTGATATGAATGCCCCTCCAAAATTCACAACTTTTTTTGCCTGCCTGTCCTTATCATTCTTTTCCTAGGAATTTATAAAAACTGTCTTCAATTATCCCTTGAAGTCTTATTATCTCAAGACTTCCATATCTATTGCTCTTTGGACTTTTTCAATGTGTCTCTGCCTCAAAACATAGCACTCAAAGCAATTTCCTAAGACCTGACCATAGTCAAGTACAAAGGAATTACCTTTGATAGTTTTTTTTGCTTAGCCATTTCTATCTCATAGAAAATACAACACAATGAATATGGAATTTGCAAACTTCATATATTTAGGTATGTATTACACAGGATTCATTCAGCAGTCTCAAAAGCAATGAAACATCTGCATAATAAGTCCAATGCAGGTTTTGCAGTGAGGTATATTAAAATCTTCCCATTTTTTTGCTTTAGATCAGCTAGGGGAGGTATAAAATACACATTAGACTTCACCAGCTAACCTGCAGATAAATTACTCACCACTGTCCTGAGGCTCACCAGCAGAGATGCAAAACAAAACAGTGCCATCCATACCCACAACAGAACAGGGAGGTTCAGAATTACAGTTTTTTTAACCTGGAATAAACCTATCCTGTTGCCAAAACATCCTATCCTGCACCATTTGTTAACCACCTTGTGTTGGAGGAATGGCTACAGCTGGACAAAGAAGCCAACCTGGCAGAAAACCAACTACCAAACCCAGAAAAAAAAAAAACAAAAAACAAAACAAAACCCAACCAACAACTCAGGCTTTTCAGCCTAATCAATTCCTTACAAGAACATCACTCCTGGCAGAAGGCAGGTAGCAACAGAGCAGTCAACGCTGCCCACCCTTCTCTGCGCTACCCTAGCAGGACATTAGCTTTAACCTAACCACTAAAAACTGAAGGTTCTACAGTCTTTCTGTAGATCTCTTGCTGAGGCCCCCAACAAACAGCTGGCTATGATGGAAACACACTGCTATTAGCCCGAAGGTGAATCCAGCTTTAGAAACGCTCTCCCCTTCCTACTCAAAACAAGACAGACAACTCCTTAAGACCAGGATTCGAGAAAAATGGAGAATTTTACTTTTGTATTAGATGCTAAGACATGCTGCTTGACAACTCATACTTGCTTCAGTCTCCCAAAACCATCTTTGACAAAGGAGTCATCTCAGGTCATATGACACCAACAAAACTAAAAAATAATAATAAAAAGTCTACCTGCCCATTTAATACCGCCAACTTTTGTCACAATGCCAGAGCCTTTTTTACTTTTTCTTTCTCTCCCCCGACCTCTCCTTCCCAGGCAGGGTAAGGGAGAGGAGAGAGAATGTATTCTTCTCGGTCCTGCAGATTTGCAGGAACCAAATCCAAGTTTCACATCAACTCTTCTTTCTTCAACACAAACAGCCTTAAAGGGTTAGCAGAAACCCCAGCACCGAGAAAACCTAAGCTAACAGTTTCTCCACATTCTCAACCTCTGACTTCCTAACACTACTACAGATGGTGGATCAATAAACAATTAGAATTGATCAATAAATAATAAAACATAACCCACTGCTTACCTTTGATGTACCAGGGCCCCTAACTGGTTACCTACTGTGGCAGAGAGAGAAAAAAGGAAAAAAATCAAAGCATTAGCACGGATAAACTAACTTCATCCCTATAGAAAAAGAGTTCTTACCATTTCATCAAAAAAGAAAGAAAAGCAAAACAGTAATTTAGGTTCAGTGGCTGAAATGAATGCGTTATGTGGTATAAAACAGGAGGGGATTTCTTGATCAACACACACCATAACCCAGTGTCCAGCTGAACACAGGATAGGGAATTGATCTGCGTCTCCCCATGCTGAGAGTCATGGGAGAAAATCCTGCCTGCCCAAATCCAAATCCCTGCAACTAACCTCCCCCCCTTCCCAAATTAAACCCAAAGTAGTAAAAAAAGGAAAAAAAGCGGGGGAAGGAGGAGGGAGAAGAGAAATTTCAAGCTGACTGGTATGTATTGAAAAACAAAAATAAAAGCTGAGCAGGCTCAAGAGATTCAGTCTAAGCACAAAGCATTAAAGACCACTCGCACGTACTTCTCTCTGTGTCTCTTATCTGTGCTCCATGGAGCCCACTTACACGGAGACCTGTTAAAGGAATAGGTCTGTTAAATAACCTTGTAGCACCCAAACAGTATTTAAAAAAAACCCAAACCCATCACATTTTACTGAATACACACATTCCAGGCATATCTGCGATGTTAGCTAGGGTCCATTTATGATTAGCAGTTATCTCCCCAGCTGACATCCCTCACCCTCCCCCCCCTCCAACCCGAACAGATTAGATCTTTCTTCCAAACCTTAATGGGGAAAATATCATTAGACCAACTCATGCAAAGTGGGAACACACGCCCCGCTGGGCTTCCTACTGGACTTTGCCTGCAGCAAACCAGCTAAAAACCAGACCATTTGGTCCTAACAACCAGTTGAAAGATTATATTGCATGCCTGGAGGGCACAAGTAGCGAAACAAATGAAACCGGCCAACATGTGAGCTGTGATAATAAAGATGCAGTTTCAAACTACCTTGCAGCAACCTGCACATTCTTTGACCCGAAATAAACTGGCAATCAGCTGGCAGGGTTAGAAAGAGGATGCGTCCCACACTATCTAAATCCGGTAGAAAAATGCATAAAGTTTGTGGCCAAACACTTTGCTCAAATAAAATAGACAAAGAGAGTCAATACTGTATTTCTGCTGCGTGTCAATACCTTCATAATAGTTCAGGACCAAAATATCGACAGCATATATATTTTATTACTCTCCCCAGCTCAGTGATAAGACAACTGCTGCGTTATTGACTCCGTTAGATTTGTCTTTGCATATTCTCACCCTGAATATAAAAAGCTCTAATTTGATAACTATCAATACTGCAGCTGAAAAAGGTGGGTGATGTAATGGGGAATATTTGCTCTAGCTGATAAGCTACTACCGCAGAGCTGAGCGAATACAACCAAACAAATTCAGAATCTCACCACCTTGCCCCAAACTGCGCTCCGAATGTTGTCACTATACACAATAGGTCCGGTGGCTACTGCTGTAGTACGGGATTGCCCTTGCCACGGACCAGGCCACTCATTATCCCAAGATGCCAAAAGGAGCGATTTTAACACTACAAGGCTGTATTTAAATATCCACTTCGCATTTCAATTCACCATAACAGCTCTCAGCAGTCTCTTCCACTGCAGCCGCTGCCCACAAATTATGAAACAGATACACATCCTATAATCAACTCCTGAAGTTCACGCAAGGAACAGAAGAGCCTTCATTTTGTAACACAATCCTACACTTGAAAAAGACAACTTCTTCGGGGGAAACTGTATGAGCACAAGAAGTTAAATCAGTCAGGGAAATAATGCTTTAGATGTACGTAACATAATGTCTCCAACCCATTCCAAGTACTGTACAAATGTAGCAAGCCATTCACCACCCCAGGCAGATTTCAGCCTTACTGTATATTTATTGTACAAATTAGTTAAAAAAAAATTAAGCCACAGTATGCGCGAGATCATTCCTTCCACATTTCACAGATAACCGCTCCAAGAGCTGAGACAGAAGGCAGATGGAGAGAACTGGGGGTGATTTACTTGAAATCAGTTATGATTTCTCTCGATTTGGGGGGGCGGGGGGAACAACGTGGCTCCCAGTTCCAACAACCTAAAGGTCCATTCCTTCTCCAACATACCCATTTTGCTATGAAAGACAGGGACTAATAGAGAGGCAGGGCCGGGGCAGACCATGCTCCGTGCAACACTGAAAGCTGATGTTCTGTTGTTCCACCATCTCCCTCCTCACGCCAGGGAGAGGGCTGAACTCTGACAAGCCACGTACATATTTCCCCCTTTTACATCTATTGAGTACAATTTAACTGTAACTGCAGTCATTTTACTGCAAATAAGGAAAAATACTGAATAAAATCAGCACAATTTCCTATTAATGGCACCCACTGGTTGATAACTCTTCACTCTGCTTTAGGCTTCACTTTAACTGAATTCTACCTAACAGACACACTCAAAACAAATGCGGATTTTTTTTCCACCCCATAAAACAGAGCAGTGCCTCCCACTAAATTAATGTGCGTGATAGGAATATACAATCTCATCGAGAATATCTTCATGGCTAGAATAAAATCAGAGCAACGCATCGCCTGGAGAGCAGTGGAAAATGGTTACATTTCATACTTTTGAACCAAAATGGGATCATCATAAATTTTAGAAAGCTACAAAGAAGACATTAGCTACCCTAGTTCTTCATCATTAAATATGGCTAGGTTTTTCTTTAATTAAATGGTCAAAACCTAATAGTTTTCATGTCTGCCTTCACTGCAAATCTTTATAGGCTTTCTTCCCCTCCCTTAAACTGCCTTGTGTAAAAAAAATGGTGATCTCTAAAGTTGCAGTTTTGAAGAACATGGGCATTTTGTGTACTACACTAAACCTTTTGCTGAGAGATCTGGACTTTTGCCCTGGTCCTACTGCTGCTACAGATGTGTCAAGGAGCATCACTACTAACTTCCATTAGCAGTAAGACAGGGATAACATTTCCTTCTGCCCATCGCTATTTTCACTGAAAACACGTTGGAGCAAAAGAATAAAGTATTCCATACATCAGGATCGTGTTGTGTTTGAGCCCCTCAGCTCTACTACAATCCAGGTTTATTACACCAAAACAGGCCACCTTCATATCTGGATGCACCACAGAAGCTTGGGGAAGGCAGGGGGTGGAGAGAGAGGGAAGTGAGGCTTCTCCAAGGTCTCTCATCTTTGTTTCCCCAGACTCAAAGGATGCCCCAGCCTTCAGCTGCAACACTGCTGGTTAACCCTACGTGTATCGCCAGAGACTTCTTCAAAGCAGTCTAAAACAGGGCAAACAAAGGGTAACATTCTGGCAATCAGTCTCTTTCCAGCAGACTAGATCCCCGCTTCCTTTGAACAAAACGAGACTGTTTCTTTCAGGATTATTTAGCATTAAACAAACTTATTAAATTGTGCTGGTAATCAGATGGACCCATTAATTAGAAGGGAGACCAGAAGCAGCCGCTGGCTGTTAACAGGAGGGCTGGGATTTATCCTCAGCAGCCAGCCACATGCGAGATGCCACCAGGTCTCTCTGCAGCTCAGACCAACCCCACCTCTAGTGCTCACCTTCCCCGAGAACATTAACCGCTGCACGTGGCCATATAAATGCCGACTACGACTTCCTGCAAGCAGCACAAATAAACCTGATCTCCTCCCTGCACTATAGCTATTTGCAGGATTACTTTAAAGTTGTTTCCACAAAGGGGAAATAAAGGAGCCAGGGAAAAGAGAAATAATCAGTCTCAAGCTCCATCTAATAGCAACGGGCCAGGTCACCAGGGCCAATCCTAGCAGCTCTTTGTTTCAGATGAAGGTTATGTTAAGGGAAGTGCAAAAGGCACTCACGCATTCTTGTTTCCAATACTATGACAAATCTATTTTTCCTGGAAATGCTCTAAAAGCAGCTGAATTTGTTTTGACCAGCGCACTGTCACCCTGTCTTAAGACCACTTCCTAAGCTGACATCAATCAGCCACGCCAGCAGCTGTTTACAAAAATGGACAGGCAGAATTAGATTTTCCTGAAAGACAGACATTTTTCTTGTCACCTTAAATACTTCCTCTGGACCCAATTTTCTCAGAAGCATTAGAAACAGAAGTGATTTTCTAACAGCTACACGGGGATAAGGAAGAAGTGAGACCTGCATCCAGCCGTGAACACGCTGTATACAGAGGTAAACAATCAAAAGATTTACCACCAGATTTGTTTCCAAGCTATCCAGAGCAGCAGAGTGTATCCAAGCCCCCGCACTATAAAATTTCTACAGTATGCATAACAACATAAATAACCTCCTCTTGACAACAATGTCTCCAAACCGTGGTTCACAGGCAAGTAGAAAATGGAGAAAAGTGTGGGCACGCAATCCCGACACCCCTTGTTTGCAGCTAACAGGGAACTAAAAGATCATCCAAATGGGAAGTGCTTTCCTAATTTAAGGGTCCTATTAAAAGGAACTGCCATCTTCCAGATGCTTAGAGCTAAAGCTGCATTATAGACTTCTAATGTCACGGCAGCAAGAGCTGCGTGTACGGATCATACCACAAACAAATACAGAGCAAGAAGCACTCACAGCTTCAGGAGTTCCTTTGCCAGGCTGCAGTTCTGGGTATGTAGTTAAAGAGCAGCACAGGAGCACTATATGATTAGGCGGGGAACTCATCACACAATTGTAGTTCAGTACAGGACCTACTAATGCCATTAGAAATAAAACCCAAGATTACCAAAGCTGAAAGAAGCGATACAACCCTTGCTCCTACCTTGACAATTCCTATTTCTTTGCGAAATTCCAGCCCTTTAAAATATCACTTCCGCCATTTCTCTTCTCCTCTAAGATCTCACAGATCAGATTTTTGGACAAAGTTATAGAACCTACAGATGTACATGAACAGGGCAAATACAGCATTGGAGCTACTTTAAAAACAGTACAAGGCCCAGTGCTGAACTACAAGGTGAGCAAATACCCGTAGGTCTTTACATCAGCAGAACCAACGCAAGAGTCAGGAGTACAGCCACTCCGGAATGCCCTCCCAGGAATGATACCTGCTCCGTGGAGTTATCTGTCACAACACAAGAAACCAGCAGTAACACACATTTACAGCCCGGACTGCAACTGTATTGACACGGTTTCTGTCAACGCAAACAAGGCTCAGCAAGTAATAGGGCTCACCAGTAAAAGTTTAAGTACAAAGTCTAACTTGCGCTGTCATTAAGCGCTACGACCATTTCACATGTTAGAAGTTCACAAAAAAAGCATTTTGTCAACAGGTCAGATTTCTCAGTTCAGTGCCATGAATCAATGAAAGAAACAGGCAGGACCAACGTTCTGAATTACTAGTTCCTAGAAGGCTACTTTTATTCTTGTTCACATATAGCCACTTATCTAAGCTATCCAGACACAGCTCGACGTTGTTCAGCATTCTTCAATGCTGAACAGCCTGCTTGGCAGCCAAGCACCTTCCCATACAGAAACCAACACATACCAGTAATACCAGGCCTCTGGCTTCTCATAGACATAGTGATGCTCCCGCCTGAGATACAAGGCACAGGGGCTCACCCAGATAAACCTATTCTTTCCTAAAACACCAAACCAAAGGAGCAGCAACCTCTTTCTCAAATAGAGCCAACACCAGAGAAGAAAGTGGGTTGTGGCGTGTGTTCAGAAAACAGTAATGTTAGCAAGCCAGATGCTCCACATGAAAGAAACTTCTCTCCATGCTCCAGCATGTTTCTTCAGAATGAGAAACAAACGTGCGCTATTTTCAGCCTTCATATCAGACAGAAAAAAATATTTTCAAAATTAAGTGCTAGGCAACAGTTTTGCTTATCTCCTCAGTACTCCTGAACATATCTGTGGGGGAGAGAATCAGCCTGGAGGGCTACCTGTGTCAGTAAAAATACTAGAGGTAATAGGAAGACATAGCCACATTTATTTTTTTTTTTTTCTGTAACAAATCACAGGGAAAGGTGAGCTCTTTGCATCTATACAGCAGCAGATAATACAGTTTAAACACTTCTTGTAACAGTGCACATCATTAATTTGTACAAAAGAAAACACCTGTTCTAGCATTTTTGTTGTTCCCACCAAAGATAAGAAACTAAAACCTTAAAATCTGAACACTTCATACAATATTAACTCATTACAGTTACTAGCATATTATTCTTTGGCTGTGGCCAACGTTAAATGCTTCAGATATTTAAGAATTCTCAAAGAATAACTATGAAAAAAGCTAAGCCCAATACAGGAAATTTCCTTCCAACTTGCATCAACACCTTAGCTCCTTAAAATTCAGGTACAAAGCAATCAGAACTCTTGACGGCGACTCAACTACTGTGCTGCGACCACTGCTACACATGGAAAGGAGCACGTGTAATACTGTCCCTATACACCGCCTGCTCTCAGAAAACAAGGATCACCAGAGAACAGCTTTACTATGTGTATCTGGTACTCCATCCATGGGCTCCAGCACAGTTCCAATAAGAACATCCTTCTCCCTCCCCACCCCCCTCCAATTACCGCAGAACAAGATTTAAATTACAGACTTTGTTTGCTAATTCCCAAAGTTCATGAACTGAGAAAGAATTGCTTCACATTAACAATACTAATGCCTAGCAGCTCTGTTCTATCTGGAAGAGATTAAAAAGCACAGGGAATCTTATATAAAATTTCTATACAGAGAAAGATACATTGATTTCTGTCCTTAAAGCAGACAACTTCCTCCACAGGTGAATTTCAGGAGCTGCATCCACAAATTTGATTAATCATAGCTAGCTTACCTCCGTCATCCAGGGGCCGTTTCTGCACTCCATAACCGTAGACTGATGGGTCCACAAGTGTTGTAGAATTATTCAAGTGAGGAATATCTCCAATTTTAGCAGCAATCTATAAAAACGGGGGATAAAAGCATGATTAGCATACCTGGTCTCAGCTGTCACAGCTAAACACTCTTCCAGTAAGGCATTTGCCCCAGTCCAATCTTCTCTCAGCTATTTACCATATAGGTGGCTTTGTAACAGTTCCAAGACATCAGTGCTTCATTTGTAAAGCAAACAATTTTCTGCTTGCTTTTAATATTTGTTTAATTAAGATCGCATTCACCCAGTTCCTCTTCCTGATCATAAGTAGGTATTTACTCCCTGGAACATTATATTCAGGTTTGTTCACTCAATGAACAGCTGACAAGCTAAATCTTGCAAAGAGAAGAGTTCAAACTAGCTCACCAACTTTGTCCTGGAGAAGCTGCCACCACCATAACCATGTACGAGGACACATGCTTCCTCCTCCTGCCTTCATGCATATCCAGATACGCAGAAATGCATACTCGCACATCAGCAGGGGGAGTAGAGGGAGAAGAACGTGAAAACACACAGCACAAGGACAGGTTTGGGAACTCCTCGTCAAAGAGACTGGATCCCCCTGTGTTTACTGTACGAAGAATAAGCCAGTGGGCAAACTATTAGCCCAGAATTAGTTTCAACTTCCCGCAGCAGTCAATACAGCACAAACACCACTAACACTGCCTGTGCCTCTGCTTCCATCCCTTACAGAGGGGTAACAGCCGTTCCCTGCCAAGCCAGGATGCAAGGAGGATATTTACAGGAAAGAGGAGACAGTCAGGTATCACAGTAAGGGGACTAAGGTAAGCAAATAAACTAGGTGAGAGAGAGACCTAAACAGCACTTAATAAAAGTGAAAAGTTAAGACAGAAGTGAGCTCTTTTGCCTGGTCTCCAAGCTAACTGATGTAAGCCCACTCTAGAAACATACAGGTGCATTAGTTCAGTGCTGCACCCGAGTTAATACCACCTTCAGGGACAGGCAAACTGCAGTCTCACAGCACCCCTCACCTACATAAAGTACTTTGCTATAATAAGTAAGGGCAGAACAAAGTAGTTACAGAGCAAGTATAAAGCACGGTGTATTCTACAGCGTTTGCTTCCTTTTCCAGAAAAAAGAAAATCATTGAATGGAATCTTAAGAGTCTGATCTCACTCTATTATAACTGGGATTTCACCAGAGAATAAGCAACAGGAACAGATGAAAGAGCGTTTTACACAGATCTGTTTTAAATGAAGACAAGGGCAAATGACAAATAGAACTAAAGATGTTTCTAAAATTTGAGCTTTACTGCAACAGAAAGACATCTACAGTAACTCTGGTTGTTGACACTATCGGCTGCTGCAGTGGAATAAACAACTGCCCAAGATTCAGAACCACAGGGTACTGAAAAAAAGCTATTTGAAATAATCTTGAAAGATTGAGGGCACTGCTTTTAGAAAGAGAATTGAAAACATTCTCTTCAATGCCTTGCATGAAAAGGGCTCCAAGTTTTGACCATTTTCTTCTCATAGTCCATTCCCTCCTGTCCTCTTTTAGAAAATCAACAACTTTGTTATGTCAGAAATGCCAGGAGCTAGAGAATAAAAAATCTTCCTTCAGGACCAGCACAGTGATCACGTACCGAAGCTTTGACGACAAGCACCTTGTATGTCAACATCTCCAAATACTAATAAGCCCATAGAATTCTGGTTCTGAAAAGCATTAACACAGACTATCCCTTGTCCACTCCATACTAGGGAGTGCTGGGTGATGCATTGCTTTTTTGGTGAAAACTGTACTGCATCCATGGTTCCAGCCCTTTGCCCACATGCTTTCCCCTTACATTTGGGATGCAGAAGATTTTACTGAAGGTACAAAGAGCACAGATATTTCTAGACTACTTCAATGCTGAAAAATAAATTTATCACAACTTATTAACAGCTTTCACATAATAACTTACAAACATATGCCAAAAGGAACAGTGTCAGGTATAACATACTCTGGCACATTTTGGAACATTTGATTTTAACATGCCCTTCATGCGCTCTCCTTCTCTCCGGAGTTATTTACTTGAAAAAAAAAAACCCTGTAGGTTGTGGAAACTGCTAGCTGACAGTTTGGAGCTGAAATCACACACCATACACTCAAGGGAAA